AGGTCTAAGTCTTCACTCCTTCTCTGAATATTCCATGTTTTATTCTTATTATATAGTGCTTCAATTACTTTAATTCTAACCATCATATTCCTCTTTGTGTTTCGTCTGTTGAATTATTCTATTTATATCATTTTCCAATTACCTTCATCCAAGCATCCTCCCTTTTCCAGGGTGCCATAGCGCAGGATGCTAGCCAGGAGGGTGCAGACATCAGACTCAACCCAGAATTTACTAGATTTAATTTTTAATACCTGTAGATCCTTTAATTTATCACTCTTTAGCCAGCACATATCCACTGGTCTAGCGGCGTCATACTTGAGATAGACATCTCTTTCAGCAATCCTGCAATCCTCCGTTACTAGTGTGAGAGTACCTATACCTCCAGGAGGGAAGTGTTCCTTGATGAACTTGGTTATTTCTGAGTGAATTAGGAACTCCCCTGCTTTACCCCTTGCAAGAGCTGATAGCAAGAGAAACGATGATATGGTACCTTGTAGTGTAACCTCACCATGTGTGGATCCCTGTGGCATTGACAATCCTATCTCCCAAACTTCATCCTTCTGTTTGACCGGGAGAATCACAATACCTGCCCGTGAGAGTCTCATTTCCTCCTTTGGTAAAGTTAGCCATTGTCTGAGTTTTTGCCGTTTGCTTATTTTCTCTAATGTAAACAGAGGTGAGGATTGTGTTTTCCCTTTTTTCTGTTCTTTATTTTTATCATTTTCAACTTGATGAGGCAAATCCTCTGCGAGGTCAATCTCAACGTCTGTCCTGTCTGTGGAAGTTGCTACAATGCCTCCAGTTTGGCTGGGAGTTTCTGTTTCTTTTTCCTGTTGGTCGTTTGAGTTACCCATAATAGGCTTATTAGTAATTAACAGGAATTTACGCTCTCCTGTTAGCTCTGAGACTGCTTCTTTGAGTTCTGGAGTGTCTGTAGACTCTTTTATTTTTCGGGGAGGTTCCTCCTCTTCGTAACTAAGATTCAGACTGGAAACAGGATCAAGGGGTTGAGACTGTTGAACTGATTCTGATTCTGAGCATGCCCTGCACGCACTAGACTTCTCTTCATACTGTTTTGTCCCCTTTGAGAGGGCGAACTGAGTTTCCTCTTCTTGTGTGCACGGGTACATGTTCTCTTCTTGTATGCAAGGTTTGGGATATCCTCCCTACATAGTTTCTTGATGATCACATGTTACAACATCAGCCTTGTTACTCCCTTCACATTCAATCATTCCCATGGGACTAGATTTACTGTCATTGTAGTGTTCTGTCAGGCCCACTGTTATCCTGGTACCCCTGTCATTCTCACAGTCCTGCAAATGGGATTGCAGTGACTGGTAATTCTGATTTTTTTTTTTTTTTTTCTGATAAGTTTATTATTCTTCTTATTTTTCCTTGAATTTATCTGTTTCCGAGGGGTCAAGACATAGTGGTTGAGATTTCTTTGGCTCAGAGGTGTTCTACCAGCAAACTTCGCTAGGTAAGGTTTGACATTTATTTTCCTTTTAAATTTCTTTATGAGAATCCCTGTCTCTGGGCATTTCATGTCTGCACTCAGATCTTTTCCTTGTGAGTTCTTTCATTCTTCTCAATCCTTTCTTGTGTTTGGACTGTTCATTGTGCAGCAACTCTTGTCGTTTTGTTTCTTCCATTGTTCTTGCACTGGTTTTGTCCAATTCATGAGTACTGATTTGTCTTGTATCTTGTTGGGAACCCAGCAAGCAAGCTCCTTCATCCAATATCTAGGGATCAACCCTAGAGGAAACCACATGCAGCAGCTTGTTGCACAGTTCTAACCAGTCTGTTCCAGGTGGAGGGCCGTACTGCAACACCAGCATCAAGCTATCACTGCTGGCCTGCATAGGCCTCAGTTGACAGTTGATTTGTTGCCACAACTGATCGTTTAATTTAGGAAATTTAATTCTCAAATTAGTTAGTAGCCAATCAACTACATTTGTCAACTGCGAATTCAAATCCAATGACAGTTTCCCGCTTTATTGTTCTGGGATGCATGATTTGAGTGGGGAAGCTGTGACTGGTGCTGCTTCCACCTCCATGGGTTCCATTCCAAAAAACATCCCTGAAAACATCTATTTTCATCTGATCCTGATCCCCGTTCCCTTCTCTCTTATCCTCCTCTTTCTTGTCTTCATTCCGGGGATCCTCCTCAACTTCCTTTTCTTCCTTTTGGTGTTCTTCTTCCTTTTTTCCATCTTCTCTCTGGGTCGAGGGTTGTTCCTCAGTCCTTTTCTTTGTAACCACTCTCCATGTAGCAGCAGATGGTTGCCCATTTTTGGGCAAATAGCCCGTCGGAGATGGGCCTATGGTTTTGTACTTCCCATTTCCCATGCTCCTTTCCTCTTCATTTTGTGGGCCATGCTGAAGTCCTTTATCTGATCCTTTAGTAGTATGTGTATCATTCTTTGTATCAAAATCCCCACCATTCACAGTAGTCCCAACTGATCCAGCATCCTTTCCTGTAGTCTTCTCAACTGATCTAACTGTTCTCCCCGACCTGGCAGTCCCAGTATTTTTCGTCCCGACTTCCCCAACCATTGCAGTGCTCCCAACTATTCCAACAGTCATTCCCGATCTTGCTGTTCCAGCAGTTCCTGCTGCATTTGCCGACTTAGTCTCATTTCGGGGCTGTGTCTTCGCCGATTGCTGGGAATGTTTTGGATGTTGGGACTGTTGTGGAGGTAACCAATCAGCTGGTGGCCGAGAGGTTTTTCTCAGATCCGCCCTGCCATCCCAGAACCAACCAATTAGTTGGCCTGCCTGGTTGTGGTCATCGTTGAATACCCATCCTTCGTGTCCTGGGGCCACTGGTAACCATCTGTGTGGTCTCTGTGGGTCTCGTCTGAGCATTTGGGCAGGCGAGGTAGCATGCTGTGGGTGTTGCGGACAGACAATACTGCATTTGGGCAGGCGAGGTAGCATGCTGTGGGTATTGCGGACAGACATACTCCGTATTGAGATGACCGTTAAATTAAATTTGCGGCTTGATTTTCATGTGTGCCACTGTCCTTGTCGCCGTTGTCGGTGCTTGAACTCCACTTTTCCAATACTATCTGTCCGACTAGGTTTTCTCTTCAACCACCAGTACGTGGCCCAGCTATCGAAGCCGAGCCTCCCAGCACCCTGCAAGCCAAGTCCTACCGAACCGCCGTCGCTCTTTTTTGTTTTCTTTTTGGTTGTGGCCTCCGGACAATGCTTAGGCCGAAGCCCGAATGCTGCGGCGCATTAATGGGGAAGCGCCGCGACTGATAGTTGGGCCAAGTACTGGTGGTTTAAGGGGAGAGGGGGGGAACCAACAACCACTACTAGAGGGAGTGATAAGAGCAGCCGCCTCTAGTAGCTGTCCCTGGCTGCTCCATCTATTGGTGGGGAGCTGCACATGCTGGAAACCGGGTCCATCGTCCCTGTACAACAAGACCATCCGCAAGATAAATTCGAGAGCAGTCCGCCAGCATTGATTACCCAAGATACCCAGGGGTATTGACTGAGCCGATAGGGCATTTCTTTCTTTTCTTTTTTTCGGTAAGTTCTTATAAGCTCCGGTCCATTCGTAAGGGGGAGCAACACGTACTGGGAACCGGGCCCAGTATGCCTTATGAAAATAGACAGAAAGATTGCAGATGTCGGGGACATTACCCGGCTTCGGGTCAGAATATCAGAAACACATATGATTTTCTTTGACGCATGAACAATTGCAGAGGACTCTTCCCGAGGGCGGGGGCGCAGTGAGGCCGGGAGCACTGCGCCCCGCCCGCGCAGTCAGGCCGAGCGGCGCCGAGCGGTGACATGTGGCAGAGCAACACGAAGTCAAATCAAGCAGCGCTGGATGGCAACAAGCGGCGGTGCAGTGCGTTGCCGGGGGGAGTGGATTCGGGGTGGTGCGGTGGTGGTTGAGAGGTTTTGGGTAATGGACAATGATGGGAAGGATGGTGATAAGGGTGATGCATAAGGCTACTACGAAGAGGCTGCTTGTGAAGGGCTGCGAAGGGTATGGTCTGCCAGCATCATCATCAGAGCTACGAATGGCGGGGTGTCATGTGTCTAACGAAAGAGTCAGGAGATGAAGGGCAACGAAGGGCATGGAAGGTCTGTTCCCCCCCGGACTACCAGTGAGGGGTCACCGGCAGGTTCGGTGGTTTTGTCTTGCTACGTGGCAAGTGAGGGGTAAAGTGAAGCCACGGTCCGTTAGTCCTTATTGTTCAGTCTTTTTTTGATGGCCGAGAGAGTGGTCATGTGATGGCTGAGTTGCCTTCGGGCCGATAAGGGAGGGGGTGAAGGTTTGGGGAAGACAGACACATCATGATGAGAGGTTAGTTTATATGCTTTGATCCCTAGTTTTGCTCTTCGTGGCTTGAGTGACCTCCTTTTTTTCGTTTTGATCTCGTTTTTTTGGAGGTAGCTTCAAGATAGTAACTCCATTCCGATTTTCAGATGATTGTAAATCCGATTTTTGATTCTAAATCTCTGGTTTTTGAATTTAATCTTTTCGATTTTTCTATTTGATTTTCTCATGACAGGTAGCTTTAGGTTTTCAACTCTAAGAGCCTCGTTCCACCCGACTTGAGTTCAAGTGCGATGCGAAAAATCATTGTTCCACCCCGTCCTAGAGAAATGTTTTTTTGTTTTCATATTTTGCATCTGAAGTGCCCGCTCTTGAAACTCAAGTGCAGCCCAGGCAAAATCGCACTTGAGTTCAAGTCACCTCCTGGAGGTGCCTTGAGTTCAAGAGTTACCCTTGGGTTTCAGCCGCGGATGCAGGTAAGTTTTTTTTTTTTTCCTTTTACGCCCCGCGTTCCTGGTTCACGGCATGTCCTTTTGTGGTCCAGCGAGCAACGGCTACCGGTGGCGGTACCGGGTGCCGGCAGTGGAACTCTTGAGTTTGGTGGCTGCGGCTTCCTGTGGGCCGTTGGGGCACACACGCGCGGTGACCGTTGTAGCGCGCGGTGCACTATTGTAGCGCACGGTGCACCGTCATCGAGGTGGGAAAATCCGAATTGGTCACACGCCGCAGTTGCTCGTAGCTGTTTGGACGCTACGTTATGGGCGAGGGATATTTTGTCGCAGCAGGTCCACATGGCAGTACAAGACAAGCACGGTTGCTGCAGGTTGCTGCACCGGCGTTCGCACATGCTTCTGCAAACCTCCGTTGTCATTTCCTGTCCTGTGCGCTGTGCTGTGACGTGCATGGCGGACCATGCGAGGAAGGTGTCGCTGCTTTGTGTCCTCATCCTCCTATTGCTGCTCCTGCTCATACTGCACCTGTGGTCTTCGAGGCGTGCAAGGGTTGTGCCCCGCAAGCGGAAGCCGACGAGATCGAGCAAGCATCAGGCGTGTAAAGGAGGGATGGGTGTCGGCGGCGACGGGGCGGATATGTTCATGTACGGGGTCTTGGGGGGTGGCGGCGAGGGGTGTTTTCCATCGGATACACCACGTTACGATCCAGCACTTTATGCACACCTGCCGCCGCATCTTCAGCCCCTTCCCGACGATGAGAATTGGCAGCCGCCTCCATCGACTTTCGACCTCGCGCACGGCTCCACCCAGTCCATATCGGACAGTGAAATGTGGGTGAGAGATCAGTGGCCGAGGCAGGGGCCAATGACGTCACTTCTGTTGGACGAATTGCACCAGGGAATGTGCCCACCCCTCGATCGACAGTTGTCTTCGGGGGGTCGCCCTGCCGCATCACAAACGCTTATCATCAATCCCGCCAGCCGTTCTGAGGGCGACGCGTCAATCGGACAGTCGGCTCAGCGGCCGGGTGCTGCAAGCTTGCAGCCAACAGCCGCACCTGCGAACACCAACATTCATGCAGATCCGACGGTCACACGACCGACGGCGAGGGTTCGGGCATCATCAGAGGGTAGGCAAGCCAATGTCGTGGACAACATCATCACCAAGGTGTTGACGAAGCACGCAACGAGTGACGGAGATGGCAGTGGCGGTGGGGGTGCGGACTGTGAAATCGTGGAAGATGCAGCAGCAGACGACGTGGAGGAGGAAGACGACGAAGTCGACGCTGAGGAGCCATGGCCTACGACAAAGAGCCAAAAGAAAATGTCGGCGAGGAAACCAGCTCCGAAGGGGCGGGGGAAGGGGAAGGCCAAGGAAGGGGGTGGCGAGAGCGGCGGGGGAAGGATAATATGGAGTCTGGATGACTCCATCACCCTCGTGTGCTGCAAGAGGAGCAAGACGAAACTCTTGCTGCGGCGGGCCATAACTTTGCGAGGATGAAGACGAAGCAGTGGAAAATGGACTGACATCGCGAAGAGGATGGAGGTGCTGGGGTTGACCCGTGAGTGGGATGTGTGCATGAAGAGATGGGAGAATATGTTCTCGTGGTACAAGAAGGTGCAATGGAGGGAGAAGGAGTCCAGGTTGCAGTCGTTCTTTACGCTAACGCCGAAAGAACGAGCCGATAAAGGGTACAAGTTCCAGATGGATAGCCGACTTTACGAGGCAATCCATGCCGGTCAGCACGGTAATCAAACCATCCACCCGCCGAATGTGGTGCACACGGGGGCTTCTGAGCAGTGAGGTGTAAACAACGGCAGCACAGACCAAACTTCTGCGAGTGAGAATGGCGATGGGGAGGCCGGGAAAGGTTGTGCGAGCAGGTCGTCACGCGGGATGAAGTTCACGAAAAGGAAAAATGCAAGGCAACAGGTTTTTGAGGCGGTGACGGATGTCATGACCACTTACTCAAAAGTCCTGGCTGATTCAGTGGACAGCGCCAGCAAACGGTAGTGCGACGTCCTTCAGCGACAATGCGATATCATGGAGAGGGAGGTGAAACTGCACGAGACACAGTGCGGCGTGATGGATGTGGGCCAGCAGATGTTGTGTGACGCTTTGTTGAAGATCGCGGAGGCGTTGTCCTGCCCGTAGAAGGGGCAACACTGCAAAGTTGGCGTAATCAGGGGCGGACATGTTAGGCCGTTGGAGGTGGGAGTGGGGCGTGGGGGGGAATGGGGGGGGGGGGGGGGGGGGGGGGGGGGGGGGGGGGGGGGGGGGGGGGGGTTTGTTGCGNTTTTTTTTTCAGCAGTTTTTTTTTCAGCAGTTCAAATTTTCTAACTGCTCCGGGGGCCAAGTCCCACTTACCCGAAAAAAGGATTTCTGACCGCAGATTTGGAAGATCAACGACCAGAAATCAAGGATCACCGTAAGTGGGACTTGCCCCCGGGACTCCCTCCAGTCCAAGCAGACAGCCAGAGAGGTTCCTCGCAAAGCAGCGTGGACTCCGTGCCACTGGAGGAGAGGACGACCTTAGCGAGGACCTTAGCACGGTGGGCTGTAACGCCCTCGGAGTCCCACTAGCTTAGCTGAGACTCTTGTTCCCGAACCACATCAGAGGCATATATCTTGCCTCAACATGGACGTTTATTCGTTTACGTTCTGTCCGAACACCATGGCAGTTAAGGTACTTTCCCTTCCCCCAACTCCCATTCCGGCGATTCCTCCCTAACTCTGTCTCTGTGTCTGTCACTTCCGCGGGCCACCTCTCTCTCTCTCTCTCTCTCTCTCTCTCTCTCTCTCTCTCTGTGTGTGTGTGTGTGTGTGTGTGTGGAGCCCGCAGGCCAACATTAATGACAGTCCCGGCGGAAGGACGCCACGCACTGCTCATCCATTTTCATGGTTTTCCTTTGTTTGAAATTGCACTAACGGATGTCCGGACCGAAATGACATCTCCGACTGCTCATTACTTTTTTTTTTTTTTTTTTTTCCTTCGTTTTGTATTCATTTGAGTTTTGTATTCTTTTGATTTTTCTGTTTAGCCGGCCGAAGGCGACTCGGCTGACCTGCTGCTGCTCTGCATTGTGTACGTGATTGTCTGGTGTGTCTGTAACTCTGCTGAAGTTCACGAATTTCCTCACCACGCAGGACCTGGTGCTGTTTGTGTTCTACCATCTCCTCTCGGCGGAGCTCTGTCTGTGACTCTGTGCACCGCATGTATCTGGTCCTCTTATTTGAGAAAAAACGTGCTGATTCTGCTGAGAAACTCGTACGGAGGAGGTGGTCCTGCCCCCGTCAGAGGATACTCAAACTTGCATTGTTTTACTTATTTCTGGACGGTGGACGGAATTGAGGCTAGATGCATACAGGTCCGAGCGTAAATCCGGTCAGATACGTTTAACGGAGTGCTGGTGTGAGTACGCCCTCAGCCGCGGCGCGAAGCGAATTGAATTGAATGCTCTTTCTTCGTACGTGTTATGTTACGCCTGTCTTCCCCCTGAGTCTCCTCCTTAGCCTTCAACGATTTCCTAATCAGGCCGCCAAGGGCCCAAACAAAAGGAAGGGTTTGAACAATTTGGGGGCCAAAAAAAAAAAAAAAAAAAAAAAAAAAAACTGGCAGACCGGCCCCAAGCGTTCTTTGTCTCTACTGAAAAGTCCCCGAGGGGGAAGGTACCTGTTGGGCGCCGCCCTTCAGCATTCACATGCCTTAGTTAAGGCGTGTGTCTTGGGGCCCCAAAATGCTGCCTGTGCCTGCGAGTGCCGGCGAATGGCCACGGCCCTGCCTGGTACCCGCCTGGATGGACTAGGCCCGCCTGTGGAGCTTTAACCTAATTGATTCAACGGCTATCACCGGTACATCTGGGCGTGGTGGGCCCCGCTGCTCCCCAAAGCGGAGCAGTTTTTTCTTCCTTATGGTCTGGTGCCACCTGCCATAATGATTGTGGTTCGGTAGCCCCAAGCCTCCGGAATTTTTGTAGGCCATGAAAGGAAATCCTTCAAGCCTGGGGCTGTGTACTGGCGGCTTAAACCACCAGTACTTGGGCACTGTGCGCCGCGCCGGCCGCCCAAATCTCGAAGCAGCCGGCCGTAGCGTTAACGCTAAGGCGTCGCCCAAGTACTGGTGGTTTAACATGGATCAAACCACCAGTGCCTCAGCCGTAGAGCGGCGGGGGGGGGGAGGAAAGCATTCCTTCTACCTTCTTCTTACCCCGTATACAACGTACGGTAGCTGTATTTGGGGTATCTTTCAGTCTATATACCGCTATAATGAGGGTACGTTGTATTTGGGGGAAGAAGGTAGGCTGGGGGGGGAAGAAGGTAGGCTGTATTATTTTATTTTATTTTTTGACAAACATGACGAGTAGACCCCAAGGATTTTTCAGACAAAGTCTCTGGACAAAAACAAGACTTGTCAACTTGAATGGTGACCAAAAACAGCAACCGTTTTTTGCTCTGTCTGTTTCAGTGCTGTCTGGCTCAGCTATGCAGCCAGGGCCTTTACAGATGCACACATAGAATGCATATCAATCTGAACACACAATCTTGAGCAATTGAGTTTCAAAAAGGGAAAACATCGGGAATGTACCCACAAGGAATCAAAGGTCTTCAGTCCAATACAATTGGGAAAGCTAATCTGGAAAGCAAAAAACTCTAAGACTCCATTCTTCCAGGTGTTGTCTTGATCTGGATGAGACTTCCATGTTATGTTTTTTGGATGAGCCTGAGCTGGCAGGTGCCATACTCAAGCATGGACACCCATGTGTGTGTGTTATTGTTTTTTTGGGGGGGGCATGGGGGTGGGGGTGGGGGTGGGGGAAGGAAAGTCAGCCGCACTTTCTAGCAAACAGGCAGGGAGACAGACTCCCAGGCAGGCAGGCAGCAAGGCAATCAAGAGACCTAACAAGGCAAGCGACAGGGAGGAGGGTTAACAAGAACGAGAGGCAAGAGGGCAGGATTGCAAAAAGGCCAAACAGCAGGGCTCTGGCAGCGCGGTGATACAGAGCAAGCGGACGGCTGCCAACAGTGCCAAGCAGCAGCCTGAGGGCGGCACCGACAAGGCAGGCAGGCAACACATACAGCACAGGCCAAAGTGGATCATGACGTTGGGACCTGGTCACACCGGAACTAGAACTATACAGACTCGGAGTCTTGGTTTCTGGTTCACGTCAGAACCAGGAGTTAAGGGGTCCCTTTGACGAATGTTTGTCATCCCCAGCCTGAGGCAACATATAGACGCAGAAGCATCCTCAATACATAAGCCTCACAAATAGTGTTACATACGCACATACCGAAAAGTAACCAACCATTTCGCATATCTCGAACGTGCCTCGTTGGACTTGGGAGGTCAACGAGAGGAAAGGAACGAAGACAAGATACAGTGGGCAGCATAAAAAGATAAAAACATAGGTAGACAGACAAGAAGACAAGACCGTACACAGCGTACCGGAAGTATGTGTGTGTGTGTGTGTGTGTGTGTGTGTGTGTGTGTGTGTGTGTGTGTGTGTGTGTGTGTGTGTGTGTGTGAAGAACCTTCGCTGTCCTTTCTGGGAATGTGACACACCTTATTTGGGAAGCTATGCCCCTTCAATTTTTGACTCTTTGCTGCTAGCCATCTTCTTTTTCTTTTTTTTTGGGGGGGGGAGAGGGCGGGGGGACAAAATGCTCCAATCTATTCTTGGGGAGCAGCACATGCTTGGACCGGGCCCAGCGTCCCATAAGAAGATACTAGCTAAGTGCCTGCGGTGCGGGCGGTGCAGGCTACGCCCACAGAAATAACAAATGCAGTGGGTGACCTAACAGTGCTCACACTGCATTTCGGTTGGCTCTGCTGAGTCTGCTCCAAGATGTTCGCCCGCAGAGACAACAACAGCCTACCGGGGGGCACAAAACGACAGCCGCGTGAGAGATGGAAAAAAAAGGAAGGAAACGAAAAAATAAAATAAAAAAAAATGGAGGACACAAAATGACAGGCGGGAAAAATGAAAAAAGGAGAAGGGCGACACAAAATGACGGCCAACCGGGGAAAACAAAACCAAAAAAAAGGCCGCCCGAATATCAGATGGCTCGTCTCCAAGATGTTTGTTCGCATCAACGCCAGCCGTGCGCCCCACCCCGGGGGCACCCGCTCTGGTTTAATGGTGCGCTGTGAACATTTCGGTATGCGCACCCCTCTCCACACTCCCCCCTCCTTGATCGCCTTCATCCGCCGCCCCTCACCAAAACTTCGACCCGAATCCGGTGTGCAGCATGTCATGGACCCCCTTCCCCCGCGGCCAATGCTGATAGGATAACAAAATATACACTGTCAGGTTATTGAAGCACCGGGGTCATTACCCGGCTTCGGCTGAGAATCAATCTGCGAATAGATTGATCCAAGTACTCATGAGACAGCCTCAAAAAAACGCCGTTACGCCGGTTACAGTCTAATAGGAAAACCACACATCTGTGCAATACCAGAATCTGATTCAACTTGAAAGGGCCGAATGAGTAAAAACACAAGACCTACGAACAACTCAAGTCGCTCTGGAGCCTGTAAACCAGAACTTAACTCACGTCGGACAGATGCTACTCAGTGGCCCAATGCTCAGCCTCCCTAATGTCCTGCCTCATCAGCAAGCCCCAAGCCTTAAACCACCAGTACCTGGCCCAGCTATCGGCCGCGGCGCTTCCCGTATACGTGCCGCACCATTTGGGCTTCGGCCTGCCGGACCGCATTGGCTGGAGGCCGCAGGCAAAAAGAAAAAGAAAATTGCGACGGCGGTTCGGCAGG